GGGGGGGGGGGGGGGGGGGGGGGGGGGCGCTAGGGGGGGTGGAATTCAAAACCTGTGAACCTCGATATCTTTCGAACGAAACAAGATATTGAGGCCCGGTTTGGACAAAAAATTGTCTAAAATTGCATACTTTAAGATTCTAAAGGCCAAAATCCCAAAATTACATTTTTAACTTAACTTACGTGCTTTTTTCAGTTTTTGAGGAAAAACAATTTCTTTTAAACACACCAAACTGAAAGAGCACAATTTTGTATTTGAACCAGAACCAGTTGTTTAAATTGCTCGTCTTTTTCCGCATCCAACGAGTGGCTATGCAAGCTGGGGACCCGAACGGTTTCGGAGTTATGATCGATTGAAGCTTCCACTCAACGCGCGCCGACCGATTTTCGCGCGCACAAAAGTCGGATTTGACTGTTATTAAATCAGATTGAATGTTCAAACTGAGCGCAATGCATTATTAGGGACTCTTGAGGGTAGCTGAGTTCAGAAATTACAGATACCTCCAAAAAATTCACGTTTTTAAAATTACACCTCCGTACAGGACCACTGAGCGGCCGGTCGGCGCTCAGTGGGCCTCTGCAATAGCGCTACGGAGCTGTAATTTTAAAAACGTGAATTTTTTGGAGGTATCTGTAATTTCTGAACTCAGCTACCCTCAAGAGTCCCTAATAATGCATTGCGCTCAGTTTGAACATTCAATCTGATTTAATAACAGTCAAATCCGACTTTTTTGCGCGCGAAAATCGATCGGCGCGCGTTGAGTGGAAGCTTCAATCGATCATAACTCCGAAACCGTTCGGGTCCCCAGCTTGCATAGCCACTCGTTGGATGCGGAAAAAGACGAGCAATTTAAACAATTGGTTCTGGTTCAAATACAAAATTGTGCTCTTTCAGTTTGGTGTGTTTAAAAGAAATTGTTTTTCCTCAAAAACTGAAAAAAGCACGTAAGTTAAGTTAAAAATGTAATTTTGGGATTTTGGCCTTTAGAATCTTATTGTATGCAATTTTAGACAATTTTTTGTCCAAACCGGGCCTCAATATCTTGTTTCGTTCGAAAGATATCGAGGTTCACAGGTTTTGACTTCCACCCCCCTAGCGCCCCCCCCAAATTTTTTTGGGGGTCTGAAAATTCGGGAAAAGAAGCGCTCCAGTATTAGTAACTGATAGACGAAGTTTGAATAAGTTTTAGTGGGGGGTGAATAATGTTGTTTTTGCATACGGCTCTTTTGAATCACTTCAAACTGGCTCAAACTTGGTGTCACGGAAGTTTGCCGATGGATTTGCTTGAAACTCGGGGTCCTATTGGTTTCTGGCTCGAAATGGCTGACTCTTTCCTATTAAATTTTTGAAATGCTGGATACTTTTAAGATGGCTGCCGAGTTTCATGTGAATCCATCAGTAAACTTTCGTAACACTAAGTTTCAACCATTTTTCTGCCGCCATTTTGAAGTTATTCAGAATTTCTAAGATCCAATGAAAGATTCATTTTTCTTGTGCCGAAATACCCGCGGATACCAAGTCTCATTTAGGATGCAATTGCACGCGCTTATATCAGCGTAATTAAGCCGATGGTGACATACAATGACAGCCAGTCGGGGGTTGAACAAATTGATATTGAATTTGAGTCGACTGTGCAGTTGGGAAATAATCTATCTCCGACACTTACAATTTTCCTTCTCCTTCTCATAGAATAATGATGCTTCGCAATCAGAAGCGAAACTAGGATAGGGAAGTTGAAGCGAAGAAGAAGAATATTTAGTACAGTACTGTTTACATTTGAGAAATGGATGCCGGTGCGATCAGGGTTGCCGATTCGGTTCGAAATTTAAAAGTCCCGCCGGCCGCGCTCATTTCAAGAACGTACAACGCGGCATCATAGTAAGCAAGTACGGAGTTTGCTTCAGCGCGTTCTTACGGGAGTTTTGCTTCTGATTGCGAAGCATCCTCTCTATGCTTTTTTTGTGCAAACAAATTGCTTTCATGGTCAGACGAAACTTTTTCTTTTTTAAGAAAAAGTTAAACAATGAAACTTTCCCATAAGATTAGCACTCAGCAATAAGCATGCCGTATTTCATTTACATCCATCTCTCTCTATGTATATCTACGCCGGTAATGAGCTGGAAAGCAATACTTAAAAGCCGCACTTTTTGTATGTATTCAAGTACTCACACTTATACGAAGCTTCAGCTCTGCCAATTTATTGCGGGCTGCCGCTAACTCACAGTTTGCCGTGACCAAAGCTCGTCGTTTTGGTTCAACAACTACCCAAACATCATGAAACTTCATTATGTTGATGACCCAAGCACAGAGACCTTTAAATGAGAGAAAAAAAAAACAATCACACAAATATATGTAATTTGGTTCGATTCTTATTCTTAAGTATTCTCAAAATGTTTACGTTAGATGCTCCCCTGCTAAAAAAGTTCCCATGGGAATTTCTTACCCAAGGAATTTTAGGGAGGGGAGCGGGAGCCAGGCTTGGATCCCCTGGAAAGGCTTCCCATGCGAACCAAACACGAGCCTCGGGGACTGCCCATCGGAAGCTTCCCGTATGCTTTTACGTGGATTTCCGTGCCCACAATGCCAACTCTCATTGCAGAACCATAGAACAAAAAGATTAAAGATTAGGTACTTATATACGAAAGTTAATTTTTTTCATAGACAAGGCATCCTTAGGGCGACTAAGAGACTCTTTTCTTTTAGACGGGCAGAAAACTCTTGGCCACTGCGAAATTCTTGGAGTTCCGGAGGCTCGCTTAATATCCGGGAGGGTAATTTACTATTCATAAACGTCCCCTGCGCCGATTTCATGCTTGTATGCAATGATATTCTTGGAAATTTCTACATTGTGCAGTTTCACAGAAATATAAATACTTAAAAAATAGATAAATTTTTAGAAAAAAAGTAACGAGTAACGTATGCATGAAAAAAACCATAATATTTATTAAAATGAAGAAAAATTAAGTAAATAAAATGAAATAACATAAAATTAAAACTGCATTAAAATATACATACAGGGTGATACAAAAGTCTTTTGACACCCCTGGTACTTTTGAACGAAATGAAATAGAACATTGATTTTTTAGCTGTGTTCCTGTGGCATTTAAACCTCTTTTTTGACCCCCAAAATTTTTTGCCGCGCCCGAGGGCGGCTTTGGATCATAATTTTTTTTTCAAATCAGGACCCTTATCATGGGACACATCGTTGGATAGATAATAAAAAAAGAAAATTTCTGACGCAAAGTTCAAGTCGATATCTCAATTTTTGTCAAGACGGCGGCTAAAAAACTGCAGGAAACCAGTTTGGGAGATTTTTGAGGGATTCTTACCAACGACATTACCGAGAATCTAGTTTCCCAGGTTATTTAACACGGGAAAAAGGAATTTGACATTAGGTTGTCAAAAGTTCGAAGTTCTTGTAAGATGGCGGCCGATCAAAATGGCGGAAACCCTGTTTTGAAGGGTTCCCGCGGATTTTTGCGGAGAAAATGCCTGGAAGTCTGTCTTTCGAAGTTACTTGACACGTGGAAGACGAAAGGATTTGGAATTTATTGACCTGATGCTGAATTTGTCTTTGCCGTGTCAAATAACTCTAGGAAAAGGACTTTCAGGCATTTTTATCCGCCAAAACCCCTCAAAACCGGGTTCCCGCAATTTGGATTGGCCGCCATCAAGGATATGGGATTCAAAATTTTGACAACCGAATGTTAAATTTGTCTTCTCCCTGATAAATAACCTTCGAATACAGTCTTCCGGGTATCTTTATCAGCAAAACCCCCTGAAAATCTTTCATAACGCAGCAAGAAAATGAAGTTGATTTAACATTTTGGATTTAAAAAAAAATAAAATGCTCAATTACCCGCAACAACAGTCACTTTAGAAATGCCTGAATGTAAAACTAACTGCTTTGGTGCGTAATTCAGCATTTTATCAGCAAACTTTTTATATTATTCAGCAAACTTTTTTAACATCCAGGATATTAAAGCAACTTCCTTTTTTTTCAGTGCGGGGTTCCTGCCATTTCAATCGGCCGCCATCTCGGAAGGACTTCAAAATTTTGACAACCCGATGTCAAATTGGACTGCATTTTGCAATTTGGAACTATAAATTCTGGCTCTTATGGAAAAACACTTATGTGCATAGGGATACTAATGGCGCATACGTTGTTTTTAAACCGGGCGAGAATTTATAGTTCCAAATTGCAAAATGAAATCCAATTTGTCTTTACCGTGGAAGTAACCTCGGAATACAGATTTCCGAGCACTTTAATGAGCGAAATCCCTGAAAACCCTTCAAAACGAGGGTACTAGGTCATTTTTCCTAATTTTTTCCCTGCATCAGGTTTTCCGAATACATTTAAACGCAGAGGTGAATTTCAAGCAGTTTTAACATGTACTTGGTTGCGAAGACCTTACCTACTAGGTTAT